TGAAGCATTGTGCTGTGTTATTTTTCCTTTTTTTTCCTTCTTTGCCCCTGTTACTGTTTTATTGCTAATCACAGATTGCAGGCTTGAAAAAAGCCAACAATTGGTATCAGAGCATACCTGGTACGTGCCCAAGTATCAACCTAGAGAAGAAGAGATGGCAGGCAGTGGCAGCAATGGGAATGGTGACAAAGACGGGCAAATCACCCTGCACTACCCGATGTTGACAAGGAGCAATTACAGTGCATGGGCAATCAAAATGAGGGTCTTTATGTTGGCCCAGGGTGTTTGGGATGCAGTAGAACCCAGAACTACTAACACCCTCGTTGAAGCAAAGAAGGACAATATGGCTTTGGCTGCCATTTATCAGGGGATACCTGAGGATTTGTTGATGACATTGGCGGAGAAGAAGACTGCTAAAGAAGCCTGGGAACCTTTCAAAGTCATGTTTGTAGGGGCAGATAGAGTGAAGGTTGCAAGGATCCAAACACTCAAAGCTGAACTTGAAGCCATGAGTATGAAGGAAACGGAGAGTGTTAATGATTTCACCGGAAAAGTCATCAACACAGTCAGCACATTAAGAACCTTGGGGGACAAGGTAGAAGAATCTCAAGTTGTGAAGAAACTATTGAGGGCAGTTTCGTCCAAATTTCTTCAGATTGCCTCGACACTCGAGCAATTTGGAGACTTGGAATCGATGTCCGTTGAGGAAGTAATCGGGAGGCTTAAGGCGTATGAAGAACGTATGAAGAGCTCATGTGAAAGCGATGATCGGAAACTCTTGTTGACTCACAAGGAGTGGTCCGATAGAAACAAAAAGAAATCGGAAGGTGACTCAAAACAAAGAGTAAGTCGAGGTGGTGTCAGTGGTTCTCGTGGCGGTCGTGGCAGAGGAAGAGGAAGAAACGGAGGAGGCCGTGGTTGTCGCGGTGGTAGAAGTGGAACCCATCACCAGAAGGGAAGTAATCCTACTGCATCAAGTAGCCATGACAAGAGTGACATTCAATGCTATAACTGCCAGGAGTATGGGCATTATGCATCTGAATGCAAGAATTCTCGAAAGGAACGAAGCCATGAGAATAATCTGGTCCAAGAACTCCATGATGACGAGCCTGCCCTGTTGCTGTCAACATACGAAGATGAAAGTCTAGTGTTCTTAAATGAAGAAAATCTCAGTCCCCAACTGAGAACCCATGGTAATCCAAAGAACACATCTTGCACATGGTACCTGGACACAGGTGCAAGTAACCATATGACTGGAGACAAAACCAAGTTCAGAACGTTGAATGAATCAATTCATGGTTTCGTGAAATTCGGGAACGAGTCTAAAGTTAGGATTGAAGGCAAAGGCTCAGTTGTATTCAGGTGCAAAGATGGTGGTCAACGAAGAATGAATGAAGTTTACTACATCCCTGATCTGTGTAGTAATATAATCAGCTTGGGCCAACTAGCTGAGGGTGGAGATGAAATAAGGATCAAAGATCCATTTTTGTGGGTCAAAGATTCAAAGGGAAAGTTGTTGATGAAGGTTAGAAGGTCATCAAATCGCCTTTATAAGATAGAACTGTAGGAAACCAAAGGCATATGTTTGACTGCTGAAATTGATGACCAGTCATGGGTATGGCACAAACGAATGGGGCATGTAAACTTTAATTCAATGAAGCTGATGATTGATAAGAAGATGATCGAAGGTGTGCCACAAATAAAGATTCCCTCACAACCGTGTGAAGGCTGTTTGGTGGGAAAACAAGAAAGAGATCCATTTCCAGCTCAAACGAAATTCAAGGCAAACAAGAAGCTTGAGTTGATCTATGGTGATTTATGTGGGCCAGTTACTCCTCCAACACCTTCCGGTAATAGATATTTCATGCTGATGGTTGATGATTTTAGTAGAGTGATGTGGGTGTACTTGTTGAAGTCTAAAGATGAAGCTCTACAAGTGTTCAAGAACTTTAGAAGCAAGGTAGAAACTGAAGTAGGGGAGAAAGTGAAAGTGTTCAGAACCGATCGTGGAGGAGAGTTCTTATCAAAGGAATTCACGAAGTACTGTGAAGAAACTGGGCTAGAGAGACAGTACACGTCCCCCTACTCTCCACAGCAAAATGGAGTGGTAGAGAGACGTAATCGGACTGTATTGGAGATGGTGAGGTGCAACTTAAAGACAATGTCTGTGCCCAATGCATTGTGGGGAGAAGCTGTATCATACTCTGTTTATGTCTTGAACAGAGCTCACACAAAAGCCTTGAAGAATATGACACCCTATGAAGCATGGTCTGGGAGAAAGCCACATATAGCGCATCTCAGGGTGTTCGGTTGTGTAGCCCACATGAAAATTGTCAAAGGGCATTTGAAGAAACTAGAAGATAGAAGTATGCCCCTGGTTCATCTTGGAATTGAAAAAGGCTCGAAAGCATACAGGCTTTTGGACCCAGATTCAGGGAAAGTCTACGTGAGTCGAGATGTTGTATTCGAAGAAGAACGAAATTGGGTATGGGAGAAAAGTCAAAGGATCAAAGCGACACCTGGAGTATCTTTTACAGTCGAAGGATTTGATTTAGATGGTGATGTTCTTTACAATGAGGAAGAATGGGCGCAGGACACACCAGGTCAAGCAACTGGATCGGATCAAGGAAGTGGGTCATTTTCTAATTGGCCCAATAGTGAGCAGTCACATATGTCGGGTTACCCACAATCAGGCCCACCGGGTAGTCCGATATCGCCAAATACCCCACTCGCACAAGGTGATCCCATTACGATCGACTCATCGCCTCAGGCAGTGACTCCGAGCACCGCTTCTAGCTCTACGGGCGGTGGAGCTCCCAAAAGGTTCAGGCTTCTTACCGATTTATACGATAGCACTCAGGAAATTCATATACCCCCTGAAGAATTGATGCTGATTCGAAACAGTGAAGAACCCACATCATACCTTGAGGCTAGCAAGAAGAAGGAGTGGCGAGAGGCGATGGGTGCTGAATTAGCCTCAATCGAAAAAAATGATACCTGGAGATTGGTTGATCTTCCAAAGAATCGTAAGGCTATTGGCTTAAAGTGGGTCTTCAAGTTGAAAAAGGATCCAAGTGGAAGAATTGTCAAACACAAAGCCAGAATTGTAGCGAAGGGGTACGTCCAGAGGCACGGGGTCGATTATGATGAGGTATTTGCCCCTGTAGCCAGAATTGACACAATACGCCTCATTCTAGCCCTAGCAGGTTCAAACGGGTGGAAGGTTCACCATCTGGATGTCAAATCGGCATTCCTAAATGGAAATCTAGAAGAGGAAGTTTACGTGAATCAACCTGATGGCTATCAGAAAAAGGGTGAAACTCACAAGGTGTACAAACTCTCCAAAGCCCTTTACGGGCTCAAACAAGCTCCCAGGGCTTGGAATGCTTGCTTGGATCGATATCTGAAGAACATTGGATTTACAAGGTGTGCCCATGAATACTCTGTCTACATAAAAAGGTATGATAATCATGTCCTGATCATAGGAGTGTATGTAGATGACTTAATTGTCACAGGGAGCTGCCCCAAAAGTGTTCAGAAGTTTAAGAAGGAGATGAACACAAAGTTTGAAATGAGTGATTTGGGATTCCTAACTCATTATTTGGGAATTGAAGTAAGCCAAAATGACGAGGGAATTTCACTAAAACAGGAGTCCTATGCCAAGAATCTGCTTGCCAAGACAGGTATGCAGGATTGTAATCCCACAAAAACCCCCATGGAACACAAGCTTAGGCTCAAGAAAGAAGACGAATCTGAATTGGTGAATCCCACAGAGTATCGAAGCATTGTGGGTGGACTGAGATATCTGACCCATACAAGGCCAGACATATCTTTTGTTGTGGGAATCGTGAGTCGATTCATGGAAAAGCCAACTGTGAATCACTTACAAGCAGTGAAGGGTATTTTGAGGTACATAAAGGGCACTCTGAATTTTGGTTTAAAGTACACAAAAGGGAAGGAGAATGTCACTCTAAAAGGGTACACAGATAGTGATTTGGCAAATGACCTCAATGATCGTAGAAGCACAGGAGGCATGGTATTCTACATGAATGAGAACCTGATCACCTGGGCTTCACAAAAGCAGAGGTGTGTGGCACTCTCCACCTGTGAAGCAGAATTTATGGCTGCCACCATGGCAGCCTGTCAAGGAATTTGGCTCAGGAGATTACTCAATGAGATAACCGGACAGAAGTTGCCACCTGTTGAATTGAAGGTTGACAACAAATCTGCACTAGACTTAATGAAAAACCCTGTCTTCAACGGGAGGAGCAAGCACATAGACATCCGGTTCCACTTCATCCGAGAATGTGTTGAGAATGGGGACATTATGGTCTCTCATATCTGCAGCAAGGAGCAGAAAGCAGATGTCCTGACCAAGTCATTGGGAAGATTGAAGTTTGAGGAGATGCGAAGTCTCCTTGGAGTGGTGAAGGTATGATTTCTGAATTAAGGAGGAGAATGATGGAATAATTCAGAATTAGACTTATTTGTTTTTATGTCATGTTTTTATTATGTGTTGAATAATTCAAGCCATGTTGGCTATTGAAGTCCGGTTCTTAAGGCAGTAGGGGTAGTTGCAGAAATTTTAGCATTTTCTCTGTTTAAATAGATGGATAGTATGAATCGTTGATTGAATCCCTTTTCACTTTCAATTCAGTGAATAAACAAGGCTTCCAGCTTTGAAGCATTGTGCTGTGTTATTTTTCCTTTTTTTTCCTTCTTTGCCCCTGTTACTGTTTTATTGCTAATCACAGATTGCAGGCTTGAAAAAAGCCAACAAAGTATATCATAAAACATTCATAATAATTGCAGAGATTTTTCAGATTACTTTTTAAAAAATAATTTTGTGTTCTTAGTTACAATTGGTTGAAATAACGTGGTACCAATTTCATTATTAAAAAAATTTGATAGCAAATTATGAAAATACTATTTAAGTTTAAAAAGCTCTAAATTGTGTGTTTTTGTTTGAAAAAAGCGCTTCAAATAATAGCCACCAAGCTCCTATCCTTTCACATTCGCTGTGATTCCATAGCATTCATCTAGTACTTGTTTATCAAGTAAATGGAAGAAGTGAGAAATCATCAGGTGATATTGAAGGATTACGTTAATGGATTCCCCAAGGAATCAGACATGCTCCTTAAAACTTTCGCCACCATCCCCCTCAAACTACCACAAGATTCCAATGGCATCCTCGTCAAGAACCTTTATCTCTCCTGTGATCCATACCTGTGTCTTCTGATGAGCAAAGGTCTAGTCGGTTCCTTCACTCCTGGTTCGGTATGAATTACATTATTACACTCTCATTTCTCACCTTTTTTTATTCACTTTAAGGGAAAACAATTTGTTTATCGAATGATTTGTCATGAGGGTTGTGCACTTGTGCTTTGCTATTCAGTTGAACTGGGGCACCTAATCTTTCAACTGTAAATCGTTGTTTCTTCCTAATCTTTACCTTTATGAGTGCATTAGCTTCCAATGAAGCATTTTAAACTTCTTCAACGAATCTGTATAATAATATTCTTAATACACTTATAATTAAAGGGTAGGAAGTTACTACTTGGCTCTTGCAGCCCATAACAGGATTTGGAGTCGCTAAAGTTGTGGAATCTGGGCATTCAAACTTCAAGAAAGATGACCTAGTTTGGGGATTGACTGGATGGGAAGAATACACCATTATCACTACTCCGGAGACCCTTTTTAAGATTCAAGATACAGATGTCCCTCTTTCATATTATACAGGAATCCTTGGTATGTTTTCTGTTTAATTAAGTAGCTTTAAGATTCTGTAAAGTACCGATCTTGAATTCTGTAAAATGATTTTGTTTCTTTGATTGTTTTTTCAAGGTATGCCTGGTATGACTGCTTATTATGGCTTCTATGAGATATGTGCTCCGAAGAAAGGAGAGTATGTCTTTGTTTCAGCAGCTTCTGGGGCAGTCGGTCAGCTTGTCGGGCAGTTTGCAAAGCTGACAGGATGCTATGTTGTTGGGACTGCTGGAACCAACGAAAAGGTGATTAATTTGAGCATTACTTTCCCTTATATGATGATTTATTTATTGGCATAAATTTCTCAAAATCATATATTCATATGTCATTCAAGGTTGAGCTGCTGAAGACCAAATTTGGATTTGATGAGGCTTTTAACTACAAGGAAGAGCAAGATCTGGATGCAGCTCTCAAAAGGTTGGTTAATAGCCTGAACAAATAATATAATTGTCACCCAAAATAAAGATTAACTTCAATTTTTTATATATATATATTTTTTTTTGGTAATTAATCTCAGGTACTTTCCAGAAGGAATTGATATATACTTCGAGAATGTTGGTGGGAAAATGTTGGAGGCAGTGCTTTTAAATATGAGAGTAAATGGACGGATTTCGGTTTGTGGAATGATCTCACAATACAATTTAAATCAAGAACAGGGTGTGAGGAATTTGTCAAGCATAATAATGAAAAGACTTCTTGTGAAGGGATTTATTATATTTGATAACTTTGACTTGTATCCAAACTATCTTGAAATGGTTATACCTTTGATAAAAGAAGAGAAGATATGTTACATAGAAGATGTTGCAAATGGGCTTGAAAATGCACCTGCGGCTTTGATCGGGCTTTTTTTGGGCAAAAATGTTGGGAAGCAAGTGGTGTTTGTGGCCCGTGAATGAGTGGATTTGATATCTTTATGTATACGTAGCATAAATGTTTTTTATAAATAACTAGAAAAGATTCCCCGGCGTTGCCGGGTCGGAAGGTATTGCTTTGTAAAGTAAAGTAGCATGTTGGTTGTTTTTTGTCCGTTAATGTGAGGGTAATTTGGTCTTTTCAGGTAGTAGGGGACTGAATTTGTCACCATGGGTAAACCATATGAACCATTTATGTAATTTTAGTGGTGGTGGTGGTGGTGGTGATGACAGATGGTGGGTGAGTTTATGGTATTGGGTGGGTATTTTCTATAAATAAAACATTAATTTAAAACCCAAAAGAGAATGTTAAATCTGGTAAACCACAAGGACCAATCGTGTAATTTTGTCTAACAATAATAATAATAATGATGAGGGATCATTTCTGCCAAAAGACTAAATACTAATATTATGTAATAAAAGGCGAGGGTTATGAAAAATTCAAACCAAAGTGAAAGGGTTGTTTGTGAACAAAAGCATAAAAATGAAGGGTCAATGTTGTAAGTTGGAGGACCAAAATTAACAAAAAATATGCCACTTTACTTTTAAAATCTTTTATAACTAATATATATATATATATATATATATATATATATATATATATATATATATATATATATATATATAATAAGAAATTATATGGATTGTGCATGCTTTTGCTATCTATAAGATGTGAAAATTTTATTAATAATAAGAAACTGTTTTGTATTTTGTATTTTTCCTAACACTAAGAGGTGGAAAATTTTATGATGCTAGATAATAATTTGTTTGATTGATAGGAGGGATTAAACCTCTTATAAATAGAGATATACTTATAATTGAAACATTTTTTTCTTCAACCATATTCATTTGAAACCTCCAGCTTTTCAACTTTCTTTTAAATTAATACATTAAATTCAATATTATCGTAATTTCAATATTAATTCTATATTCTTATTGTAATATAGTTAGTTTGTTAATCTAAATATGATGTTAAATTCAACACATAATTTTTATAATATATTTAAAACTTATTTTTTCTAAATAGTTAGAAAGTTTAAATATAAGATCTAGATTAAAGTTTCAAATTAACAAAAAAATGATGAAAATCTACTTTTTACAATAATATTTTTCTCCTCAAAATAGACAGTTTAAAACAAATTAAAAATATTAAAAATTTAAATATAATATTAAATATAAAACATGTATCAAAAGATAGTTTTAAAATTAATAAAAATAACAAAGGTATAAATAAAATATTAAATATAAAACCTACATCATAGTTCCAAATTCACAAACAATATATATATATATATATATATATATTATATATATATATATATATATATTTCATTGACATAATATCACATAAAATATGTCTATCTAAATTGAATTTGATTTTATTTTCACGGGTAACGGCTATTGAGATGATGCGACTTTAAATAAAATAATATGAGATTTGTTATTTGATACTCATAAATCCATTACGAAAGTAATTTCGTACACCCAAGCTTGATAATGCTTATCATTTATTTAAAATACTTTGAATGTTTTATAATAAGTTAGTGTAAGAATTATTAATTTAAAGTTATTAACAAAAATATATTTATTTTAATACCATATATTTATCAATATTTTAATTATAACTGCACAATGCACGGAATATCACCTAGTAGAGATATATAAGGGGCCTTTGGCCTAGTTTAAATCTTAAGGGCCTTGATCCTAAACCCTAATTACTAGCATTCCCCTGCGGTTTGATCGACATAAGACGATTTATCTGGAAAAACAAAAACATAAAGCATAGATGAAGATAAAAAGCAGAAGAAGACAGAGATCAAGAACTGGACGCATCGACGATGACGACTGGATTTGCAGGTGGAGGCGACAACGATGGCGGCTAGATCTTGAGATAGTGGCGGCTGCGACAACTTTAGCGATTAGAACTAGATACAACGGTGGTGGGGAAGAACTGATGTCCGACGAAGTAACAGAGGCTACAACAACTGTTTATATGAGGGATGTTTTCTTTAGGAAGAGAAAGAGGAGAAGATATTGGAGAAAGGGAAAAAACTAGACAGAGAAGGCACCTCTAATGACTATTAGTGAAGGTTGTCGGAGGTGGAGGGCGGCGGTTGTGGGTTGTGGAAAAACGCTCTCAAACTCCACAACCCTCCTCTCCTATATCTAAAGAAGAGTATGCGACACTTCTTGATAGTCGCGATGCACCTCAAGAACATAATCGATTTATGTTGATGGTTTATTCTAGGTCCAGATTTTTGCTATGACTAGCTTCGATGCGATCACATTAGAGGAATCCTTCTTTGGGTTCTAATTCATCCGGTCAATTGGCGAGAAAGAATAAAACAAAGGATATAAATGTATGTGTCCCTTTTTCCCTCTCTATAGTTGATTATATTTTATTGCATTGACCGGTTGAACATGGATCCGAATTTTAGATTATGAGTTATTGCTTTTGTATTGTATGCTTCTGTTGTGTGTGCCTTTGTGGCCAAAGGTCCTCATAACCCAACATTATGTTCATTCGGTATTGTGCCCCATTTGTGAGCGATTTAAAGCTTTTTTTTAGTTGTGCGGTTATGGATCAAGTTTGGAGATCGATTGTGAAGTGGTTTGACTTACATTTCCCTTTGTTGACGCCTTTGATGGTTTGGGTCGAAAGAAAAAAGCTTTAGAGGTTATTATATTTTTCATGGTTTGGATAATTTTGTGGCAACATGGTTTTTACTTTTTAATCAGAATGCCTTTCGAAAGAGTATGATTATCAATCGTTCTTAATTCTTTTGATTGGTTGTCAAATAGGATTAATAGATTTAGTCTTGATTGGAACTCTTGGGTTAAAAATACCATAATGAGCATCCCTTTGAAATTGTTATTTTGTTGCTCAAGTTTCTTGCTAAAATGTTGTTTATATTTGAGAAAACTGCAAAAAAAAGTCCTTACATCCTTATGCAGTCATTCCGCTCAAATGTTGTAGAACTCGGTGTATTCTTCAATTCTCATTGCAATCAATCCTATAATATCAGCAAATCATATAATCTTTAACGGATCATCAAGCACAATCCCATTAAATCAGGAAGAGATCACTCCATATTTGTTGATCTAAACCCTAATCCTCACAAACTTTCTCTGGATTTAGGCTTTACAATATTGAATCAACCACCACCAAGCTCCACCGCCTCCACCTTTTCATCTGGTTTATTTCTCTTTCTCCTTTTTTTCTTTTTCTTTGCATCCTTATTCTTCGAAAACAAATGAGTGTACATGTAAGCTTCAATTTTG